AAAATATGTCACCCCAGAGAGTCCATTTTGGTGGGAATGGAACAAATTCAGAGATAAACTCACTCCAACTTGGTCACACATTGAATAAAAAGCAAATCCTTGATTCATGCCAAGGTCTCTCTGCTACCCAAACCTGAGTGTTTTCCAAGCTGTCATACTGCCTCTGCCTAGAAAAGCAAAGGACTTGCACGTGTCTCGACAGCTGCAGAGGGAAGGGCAGTTGGGCTGAGGAAGCCTTACAGGGAGACAATGAGGCCATTGTAATTGCAGCTGCATGCCTGGAGGGAAGAGCAGGTGGTGCTGTCACGGCCAGGGAACGGTTTAAGAGGGGAGCAGCAAATTACCTCAACCAATAGGAGAAGGAAGGTTTAGGGATTATGATTTCGTCCTTCACCCGGGGTTTTTCCAGCACGCGTTGCCTTGGAAACGTTACCAACGTGGTCCTCCAGAGCAGGGCCGGATGAATTTATCATTGAGTTAGCACTGCCACCTTGTGGGACAATCAAAGCACTGCGCCATCCTAACCTGCTAGGTTAAGTATTTATGCATATCAACTCTGCTTTTTCCCCTTCCTTTTCTCTTTATTTAGCTTATATGACAGGACAGATAGTAACGATATTGTTAATAGGGGAGACAGTTTTGTGGGATGTAGAGTGAGCTTGTATTTGATCAAATTGAACAAGGAGCATCTCTAACAGAGAACATAGCAGAAATCCTATAAATTACATGGCAAGGAGAAAGATAAATAAATTAAGCCTACCATCTTGCCATTGAATTTATTTCTCTATGTGGAAAATTTGTGAAAGCCTCTTAATTTTAAGAGAGAATATAGACATACATATAGACAGGACTGGTGTCTGATGAGAGCTCTTCCTGTGGCCTGCACACCTCTGGCTGTGTCCTCACAGGCCTTTCCTTAGTGTTTATGAGACATAGTTTAGGCTATAATTTATCTATATTTCCTTTTTCACTAATCAGTCAGGCACACAGTCCCTCCCCTTCTCAGGAAAATTGTACCAGTGGCGATCTTGCAGAGAAAGCCAGGGATTGTACATTCCTTTACCTCAAAGACAACTTGCTACTTCGTGACTTTAATCCATGTCCATTTATTAAGAGGCAGAACCATCTTTCCCAGCAAGAAGATGGGGTGGGATGGGGGACATTATTTTACTGTAGAGCACTTATGCTTTTTGCTAAAGATCTTAAATCAACTCTAAAATCAGTGGGTCTTAGAACTGTAGGAAATCTTAGAAAACAAATTTTGTGCCTGTTAATTTGAGTCTCATACAATCCTGGGATTCTGCAGAAGTAGTCCTGGGTACTCCAGGGATAGAGGGTGGGCAGTGGCACAAACTAGATCTCTTCATCCCCTCTGCTGTCATCTGTTTTAAACAATGAGCTGTGGTGTAACATCATTAATTTGCTGCTGTAACAAAATACCAAGCTCTGGGTGGCTTAAGTAACACAAATTTATTGTCTTACAGTTCTGGAGGTGGAATTTCAAGGTCAAAGTGCCAGCAAGGTCGGTATCCGGTGAGAGCTCTCCCCTTGGCTTACACACCTTGCTGTGTTCACACACGGCCTTTCCTTGGTGTGTATGAGCAGGGAAGAGAGGGAGAGAGAACTGGTATCTCTTCTTATAAGGGCACTAATCCTACCAGACCAGGGCCCCACCTTTATGACTTCATTTAATCTTACTCCAAATATAGTCACATTGAGGGTTAGGGCTTCAGTCTATTAGTTTGGGGAAGATAAAAACATTTAATCCATAACAAACACCTTGCCTGAAAAAGAGTTGGAGTTTTGATAGAATTTTAAAACCTGCCCTTGTCAGAGTCTGCTCAGACTGTGAAGATGGAGAGGATAGGCCAAGAGGTCTCAGGACTCACCCTGGACCGCCCCCTGGAGGGGACAGCAGGGCTGGAGTCTAGTCATGACACATGGGTGTGTGACTGGGATCTTCTCCTTTGTAAGTTACATTTAAAAAATAATGGTGATGGTGCGTTACCAAGTCAAACTACAGAAACTTGAAAAAAATCCAGATATGTGGTATGCATTGAAAGTCAGTGGGGGACAGTTCTGTAGAAATGCGATTAAACCAAGTATGCAGTGAAACTCAAAGGACTTAACTTTCCTAGCGCAAGGGAAAAGAGCTTAGTTTTCAGGTAAAGACTTGCAGAGATTCTGAAGGGAACTTCTGGGTAATCTTGATATCCCTGATTGCTATGCCTGATTCCAGTACTTGGACAGAGCTGCACTCTAATCTCTACTTCTAACCTCTTAGCTATGTTAGCACCTGTCGATGACTTGCAAAAGCCATGGAGATAAAGCAGCATGGAATTCCCCTGAGGTGGCCAGAGGATGCTAGCCCATATGACCCATCAGCACAGATTAGACCCAATGTCTCCTCACTCTCGCTCACTTGTCACCAGCATGTAGAGACTTTGGGGAGAGCATGGTGGCATGAATGAGTGATGGGTAGTGTGGGCAGGGGACTGTGTATGCTGTACGCATGTGTCTGTGTGGGGAGCTGGGCATTATCCCTACTGGGCAGCACCAGGGGTCAAATGAGTGGATGGAGGAAAGAGGCCTCAGGCGCCCAAGAAAGGGTGAGACAGGAGCCTGAAGGGTGGGGAGAGACCGCCACCAAAATCAGTCCGACAGAAGACATCAAGGAACAAACACACCCAGGAGGCAGACGTAGCTGCTTTTTTCACACATGTGTTTCTGACTGTAAAAGTGATAACATGTTCATGGTAGAAAGTCAGCAGATAGAGTTGGAGGGCCGTGAATGGGTCTGGGGCCCAGCACAGCCAAGGGAGCCTCAGGAGGTAGGAGGTCTGGGGGGCTGTGCTCTGACTCTGGCAGGGGCGGCTCACCTTCCAGGGACTGACAGCTCTGGTTACCCCCAGCCCAGTGCCTGTGCCATGGGCTGGCAGATGGTGGGCCTCAGATGGGACTCAGCCACCTCCCTTGTCCCTCTGGCTCCCAGAGGTGGCTGAGCTGCTCTGTGAAGGGGCAAGTGGGAGTGTTGGGGGGTCACTGGGAAGGAGGGGACAGGAGAGCCCTGCATAGCACCCACTGGGCACTTGAGATCCAAAAGTTTCTTGACACGTGGGTAGAAAAGCCCAAATGTGATGTGGCTCCCTGAAGCCATTCCATGAGTGAGAGGCAAGCAGGGGTGCAGGGAGCTTGGGACCTCTGGAACAGCTGGGTCGCCGGGCACTCCTTCAGCACTCCCAGCCCTGCCTACCTGACCAGGGTGGAGCTGCTCCAAGCCCACCTTCCCCAGCTCCATACAGACTTGGGACACAGAGCTTGAGCTAACGGTGTCCTTGAACACGCCTGGCCAACCTGCCTTCCTCCCCACCTCCCCTGAGCACAAGCAGGGACATCATGTCTTCGGACACACTGGCCCCTCTTGCTGGGTGTCTTCACCCTCCTCTCCTCACCCCTTCTCTCTCTGGGTCTGGGGTTGTCTCTCTTGTCTTCCCACTGTGGCCCCTTGTCCCATCTTAGGGGGTTAGTTCATGATGGAGTGAAGCATGGGTGTCCACTACAGACAATTCAAGGATCCATGGGCCATGCCGGCAGGGTCAGCATGTCAGGTTCCAGACCCCATCACTTTCCTGGCCAGCCACTCAGTCTGTGTGACCCCCAGCTCGGGCCTGTTTGGGTGCAGAAGTGTAGCTGAGTAGCATCTTGTCTTCACAGCACTTGACACAGGCATGGTCTAGAAAACAGTGCTGTGGGAAGGCTGCCTCCACTCCCTGCCCCTCCCCACCTGGTTTTGCTAAATGATTGAACTGGTGTCTGCTTTGTGGAGACTTCTTGTGTGTTACGTCTATGTGGCCTGATTTTCTGCATCTGCAAAATGGAGAGGCAGGTCCTGGTGCACAGGAACCCCAGATGCTGGTCTCATGACCCCCACCCTCACCCCCGGGATTTTGTCTCTCCCCTCTCAACTCTACAGAATTGAGCTTCCAGCCTTCCTGCATCCTCCATGCCCGGCGCAGCTGCCCGCCATCATCAGACCTTCTGTAGAGCTCTCCATCACCTGGCCCACCACCTCCGTTTCCCTCTAGGGCAATGGGTCTCACCCAGGCCTGTGTACCTGCCACACCTTGTCCCTGAATGGCTGACTCTGTTGGAAGGGCAGATGTATATCCAAGGATGGTGATGCCAGCACAGTGTCAGATGCCTGTAGCCTCTGTAGGGAACACCTGAGCACAGTTGATGGGAGAGGACGTGCTCTGGACAAAGGGTGAATTGCCCCGAGCTCCGCAAACTGTCAATAAGAAGCCTCCTCCAGGCTGGTGGGGACTCATCTGCAGACATCTGGAGTGTTAAATAAATTGTCCTGATTTATTACTGTTGCCAGCTAAGCAACAAAGAGCTAGCTGTCTTTGGTGGGTGCTGGTAGCTAACGCTCAGTGAGCACTGGACATGCCAAGTAACATTCTGGTCCTTTCTGCATGCTCAAGTCAGCATTTCTGCCAACACATCTCATGACTTGGGGAACAGATGCATGGGCAGAATAAGTCTCTTACACCAGATCTCAATTTAATATATGGCATATGAATGCTGATGGTCTAGGTCAGGCTCTCCTAAGTAACATGGGGCTTTCACCCATTTCTATTAAGGCACCAAGTCCTGACAGCTCTTTTAATGAACAGTTTCTATGTGTGTGCATGGTGAGTATACATTATCTTGTTCAAGTCTCACCACAGCCCCATGAAGTCCATATTAATATCCTTGTTTTGGGGGTGAGGAAGCGCAGCTCAGAGAGAGTGACTTTCTCAAGGTTTCTCAGCTTCTATAGGGGGGACTATGGCCAGCTCCTTCCACACAATCTGTTTTCTCTCTGAATCCCCTGTTTTTAGCCTAGGGCCAGGCTCAACAAGGCCATTGGGAAAGGTGAATAAGTGTCTGGAGCTTGGCAGGACTCCCAGGACAGTCTCCTGGCATGGGGCTCAGGGTGAGCAGCCCCACAGAAAGGTTCACGAGGTTCGGTCCCATTGGCTTCTCGGTGGTGAGAGGCACTGCCAGATCCCCCTGTGCACCATCCCACTGCCCAGGCCGTAGTTGATGGCATTGACTGTGGGCACTGTTTTGGCAATGAGGGCAGGCACCTGTTATGACAGAAAACTTCAGGAAAGAAGCTTCAAACAAAGCCTCTGCTCTCCTCCCTGGTCCCTCCTGGTGACCTCAGAGCCAACCCCCACCTCCATCCTTGCTCCCTGAGGCCACCAATCATTTGTCCTTGGCTTGATTCTGTAACCCAGAGCTTTCCCTGACCAGTTGGCAGATGGTACATGGAAACCCAGAGTATACATGGTCACCATCTGGCTGGCTGGCACTGTCATCTCACATGAGGCCTAGGCAATGTCAAGCTGAGCCCTGCGTGGCCCAGGAGACATGCAAATTCCCAATGCATATGAGTGTTCAAAGGAAGGCAGAAAGAGAAGACTATCATAGAGGCCAGAAAGCAAAGGAGAGAGAGAGACAGGGCAAGACAGAGACACACAAAGACAGAGAGTGCTGTGGCTGTGGGTGCTGGAGGGGGAGTCTCTACCATCTGCAGCCTGGGGGAGATGGAGGTCACATCCGCGATGGCTGCATACAGATACAGGAGAGCATAGGGGCCCCAACCAAGCAGCAGTGTCCTGGATGGCAGAGTGGTGTTCACCTGGGGAGAAACCATGGAAGGGAGGCATTGGTTTGCTCCAGGTGGCTGCAGCCCCTGTGGCGGGAGGTGGGGGTGGGGGTGTGGGGTACCAGGGAGCATCCAGCAGGGCTGACCAGTGTGAGCTGCCTGAGAGAAGGCGCTGAGCTTCAGAGGGAGTTGGGGACTAAGAGGACCTCTCTGCTGTTTGAGGTGTGGGACCCTAAACCTGGCATTTAGGCTTACCCGACCTCAGTTGCCTCCTCTGTCAAGTGCCTTGATAATGCCTGACTTGCCTGTAGGCAGAGACTGATGGTGGGGCATGAGCTTCCTTCCTGGTCTGCACGGTTTCTGAGAAACCCTGAGCGTCATGAGTGTGGCTATGTGGGTGAGGGTCCCTAGGCTGAGCTGCGCTCATACCCCAGGCTCACAACCAGCTCTCCATCAGCAACTGCAGCCACCAGGCTGGTCAACCTGTCCTGGATTCAAAGGACCTAAGATAGAAGCAGGGAGAGGTAATAAGGTACAGGGGGCGGGGGAGGTGGGGGGGGG